TTAGTTTTAGGTGTGAAACAAATGCCGGCAACATTGGAGCTGTGAGGCGAGTATACACACACACACACACACACACACACACACACACACACACACACAGGTTTCGTAACAATAGGGATGAGAATGTGCCAGAGGTGGGACGACCTTTCGTCTGCAGTCACAACAACACGTCACTTCCTGTCAGCTGCTGTAAGCTGCTGATCTCTTTGTTGTTCTTTAAATCAGCTTCTGTTCCTCTGCGGACTCTGACCCGCCCCCATGGCCTCTGTGCTCATTTAAAATGAACGTGTGGTGACCCGAGACTGAGGTCAGCTTTATGTGAAAGCAGCTTGCAGAGTTATTAGCAGTGCGTATTTATCATTTATAGATGTTGCTGTTAATCTGAGAAATACTAAACACAAATCATTTATAGTTTTATTTTAACACCGATCTGTCCCCATAGATTAGCTGCATTCAGCCAATCGTACACAGCAGAGGTGTCCAACTGGCTGTGAGGAAGCGGAGCCTGCAACATTGTCGACCTCTGAGCTCGACCTCAACACTGATGATTTTAAAGCGACTGCGCAGGACGTCCAGAGTGACTGCAATCTCAGACAGATCAGCAAATGTCTGCAAATACCTGCAACCAATTTGAGTCAGTCTGCAACAGGAGACGCAGCTCACCTGTGTTCTGGTTGTAAGGTGCAGCTCCTGTTAAAGTGTTCCAGTTAAATCCTGCAGCACCACGTCACTATTTCTGTTTGACCTTTGAATTGTTGTTCCAAACCTGCGTGCTTCTGGCTGGACTCAGAATGTAAGGAGGTACATGTGTGTGTAATGTGACAACTTTTCCATTGTCACATTACAGCCACAAACATGAATCAATTTCATTGGAATTCCAGGTGAAAGACCAACACAAAGTGGTGCACACGTGAGAAGTGGAACAAAAATCATTCACGATTCCAAACATTTTTTACAAATAAATAACTGCAAAGTGGGGCACATAACATTTCTCTGTTAGCCAAAATTAGCATCCCTTTACTATGACTGTGAACTTCGGATACAACTTTATAACTAAACTAGCTAGTTAGCTAATTCTCCAGCTCTAATTAAGTTGCATTGTTAAAAAAAGCCATCAGCACATCAAAGAACCACCTTACCATTACCTACTGGATTTACAAGGCTCCTTTTCAGAGTCCTGCTATTAGCATTTTCTATTTTGGTTCATTTTAATTAGTGCTGTCAGCGTTAATCTCGTTAAAATGACATTAACGCCATAACTGTATTAACGCGGCAAACCTCCATTAATGAGCTGCCGCGGATCGCCCTGTGCGTGGGGCTGGATGGCGTCAACGTGCTAACGTGGGCAAACTCATTGATACTGTGCACATCAGATTAACGCTGACAGCACTAATTTTTATATAAATTGCTCATGCAGCTAACACTAGCAGGCTTGGCTGGAAAAATGTGTAATAAACTGAACTACTTCTCCACAAAGCAACAGCACCTGTCACTCAAATAGGCTAATGATGCAAACTTTAAACCTATAAACAGTCGAGCTATTAAAACAGGTTATAACCATGTTTATTTCTTCTGTAAAGGTTTAACAGTCTATGAGGTCTGACTCGCTGCTGGAGCCTCTGCTGGACGTCAGAAGAACTGCAGTGTTAGTGACATTTTTCATGTTTGACCCTTGAAGTGAATCCAGTTCATGAAAACAAATAAAACCTATATCGTGCTTTCACAGACTGACGGTACAGTTTCATGACGCAACTGTCTCCCCACAGAGACAGCAGGATGTCACCGAGGCGGTCTGATCCCCGGTCATGTCTCTGTGCTGAGCAGCTGCAGCTCTTTCCCAGAGCAGAGACCCTGTGGACAGACAGCCCCGTGTCCCTATTGTGTCAAGCTGTGTTTGAGCTGACGTGAAAAAGCACAGGGGCCAGCAGAGTGCCAGGTCAGTTTACCTCACACATCACCTCACAGCTCGCTCCAAGGACGAATCAAACCACTGACGAGCCTCGTTTCCAGGAGCACGGAAAGCTGAAATCCCATCCTCGGAGCTGCAGAACGTCAGCGTCGTCTCAGTGGGAATAAAAGCAGATTCCATCTTTATGAAGAGCCTCTTTAGAAAAAGCTTAAAACCCGACTTTTCCTCCACTCACACTGAACGAGGGAGCGTAAGAAGCTTAAATGCTCCATTCAGTCATTAAAATGTGACTGGAGAAGTGTCTGCACACCTGAACTTGTGACCCTGAACACTTTAAGGCTCACTTGTCTGTCCACCCACTGCAGGAACATAACCCCGACTGTCAGCATCAACCCCCCGGCCTGGCAGTCACCCCTGCAGCTCAGCTCAGATGTTCTGTTCTAAGATGACTTTCAATCAGCTGCTCTGCCGATCACAGATCATCACCATCAGACAAACCGAGTTCGTCCTCAGATAACCTCAGAAAACATGCTCAGCTCAGCCAGACTGAGAAAAAGCAGTAAAATCAGAGGGATAATTTCAGAATAAAAGCACCTCCTTACCTGGATTCCTCATCTCTGGCGATCAGCAGGGACATGTGATTGGAGACCGAGGCCGTCCTTAAGATCTCCACCGCCCTATCATGGAGCAGAATTGAGCAGTAAACATTACCAGCGTGTGATGGAAGATAAAGAGTCCATGTGTGAAACTCAAGGACATCTCTGCCTGGTGGAAACGTCCTCTGTGGACCTATTGGACAAATAGACTGCAGTACCACCGACAGCCACTAGATGCTGACAGCAACTGACTCGAGCCCAAAAGTCTTTGCTCCTACTTAAAAGTTCAAAAGAACTTTAGTATCCGTCGTGTGGCCGATGATTGATAGCTGTGATTGTCGTTCCATCTACGACTTTCGAGCCTCTGTTTAAAGAATGAAACTGATTTTTAAGTTTAACTGGAACTGTGATACTTGGTTATCATCAGTGTTTATGACGTTGGTGTCTCCAGCTAATAAAAACCATACTTCAGCGGGTAGTACCATCCAGTGTCAGTTTTGACCAGTAAGTTTCATCATCAACATTTTTTCTGATGAAAACAAGATGATAACAAAATAAAATCTAATCACAAGGACACAAACTGTGATGAATCAACAGTCTGTCAACGAATAAATATGAGATGAAAATATTCTGGAGAGACAAGATCCAATCAAAACTGATTCAGCTGAGCAGAAAGGCGGGACGAGTTTGGAAGTTATCCAATGAGAAGTAATCTCCTGGTGCGACGAGGTTAGACCTGCATTCAGACTTCAGTCGCCTGAATCAACTTTAGATTTAGTCAGCTATAATCAAAGTTTGCTCTCAGAATGAACACTCGGGCTGCAGTTTAAATTATCTGCAGTGTTTACATGTGAAGGTGAGGCTATTGTCTGTCATAGACAAAAATCAGGAACAGGAAACTGCTGCGTTTAGCGGTCGTGCTAAACATGACATAAAAAACACGAAATAGAAAACTTCCTGTTTTCCTTATTTCCTGCACATTAACTGCAGTTTCTCCCTTAAAAAACAGCAGGGAGTGTTTCTATAGGTCACCTGTTTAAATTGCACTAAGGCTTGTAGTTGCATCATTAGGGGTGTGGCCTCTTTGAGTGAAGGGTGGATGGTGACACAGGCGGCTGTAGCTGCTAGCTGTCTGCTAGCTTCACCTGAACTGGACCTCTGGACCGTGTTTGTGCTGTCGGAGCCTTTTTAATGACATCATGTGACCAATAATGGGGCTGCCGTGAGGTCACTGTATTAACAGCTTTGGTGCAGTACATGTTTATTTTGATGTTAGCAAGATTAGCAAGTATCTGTGTCTATGCTCCCATACACTAACTCAGGTTCAAAAGGGAGTTTTTCCTTCCCACTGTCTCCAAGTGCTTGCTAATAGGAGGTCATGTGATTGTTGGTGTTGCTTTCTCTGTATTATTGTCTTAATAAGTCTTATTTTTTAGTCTTAATTTCTTAATTTATAAACTAAAGAGCATTGAGGCGACTGTTGTTGTGATTTGTTGCTATATGAATAAAACTGAACTGAATTAGATAAAGTAGCTGATAATACTCCACCCTCTTGTCCAAATATGGTCATTTTTACTCAAAAATGCCAACATGTTGATGACCTTAAAGCAGATGTTGAGGCTGCAAAATTTCACGTGCAGCATTCACATAAAGTGTGATGGACACCAACACTCTGCAGTCCATGCAGCTTCACAATTCAAACAGTGCAAATAAACAAGTGATGCGAGACCGCCACGCTGCATTTTCTAAAATACCTCAACAGTGAGACTCACCTCTCATTGGTCACCCCTATCAGGCTGATGTTATTGACATCCAAAATCAGGTCACCTGACTTAAGCCGACCTGGAACAGAGAGTGACAGACAGACAGACGGAGAGAAGGCAAAGTGAGGGACGATAACAGTGTCTGTAGTAACCGATCCACAAAAAATACCAGAAGAATAGCTACCATCCAGAGCGGCCAGCCCACCAGCGATCACTCGCTTTATGTAGATACCAAACTCCTCTCCTGTCAGCTCTCTGTAGCCCCCAATTATTTTAACACCTGTGAACACACACAGATGAGCTCCAGTTAAAAAAGAGCCTGGCTTTCAGGCTGTACTGGCTCTTCATCTAGTTGTGACAGGCGATCGTAGCATTTTCAGATGCTGAGCTGCGGCTGAAGGAGGAGCGGTTAATAAGGACTCAGAGGTCAGTAAGGTCGAGGGAAAGATGCTCACCGAGTCCCTTCTTGCAGTCGCAGAACTCCAGTCTCTGTACGGCTCGGCTGATGCCGTGTGGGCCCATGATCGTCCTGGCAACAAGCAAAAACACAACAGATTTAAACACATATCAACATCCTCCCTCAGCCAAAGCCCCTCTCGCTCTGTTTCCTCAGAGCGCCGCTGCACAAAATAATCAAATCATCACAGGATTTTGGCATTGTCTCCCTCTCTCCCTCCCACCTCCACCCGGCTACGTCCAACCAATAAAATCTGTCGCATCCTAAACGACGAGGCGGTTGAACCATGTGGCGACCTGGATGTTTGGAGGCTCGGGCGAACACAAACAGTGATTAGAAATAATCAAAGGAACATTACGGAGCAGTTGTTTTGTGCTTCTGCTGAGAGATTTGTGGGTGAGAAGGTTTCAGATTAAAGCTGAAGAGACTCCGATGTGGTGAACATGATCCTGCTGTCTGCTGGTCGTTCTCAAGTCTCAGTTCAGAGTCAGCACAGAGTCAGTTTGAGCGGCAGTTTGAGTCACATGCTGGTGTCTGAGCGTTTCAAAGGTTCGTGTAGAGGCAGCAAAGCCTGTCACGGACAGACTGACATGAATACTCGAGGCTGGGCCCAGAGGCTTTTTTAAATCTTTGGGCTCTAAGCTCAGTTTGATGCCTCCCTCAAACGCCGACTAAAGACATCGAAACAGATGCTGTGTCAGTTTTATGGGAGTAGCAACAAGAGAGAGCTGATCCTTTAATTTGGGTTCACTTACACTCAAAATAATCATGCTGACCACTTCCAAAAATAGCAAATGAACGGTCACATGGTGCATCTGCTGTTTTGCTCTCTCTCTCTCTTTAGTGACACACATCTCTGCAGATGACACGTTTTTTCATACAGCGGTCATGCAAAGGATCCAGTTAGTTCTTTGTGTATTATATTGCCCCCTTGAGGACTGACAATAATCACTTCCACCTAAAAGTCTTCAGAGGTCTACTGGATTAAAACCAAGCACCAAATAAATTCTGCAACTTTACCTGGAAGGTCTTTTTTTTTTAGGTTAGGAAAGGTTAAGGATACTGTGCTTCTCTGTTTCATTTAAACTTAATTTACCAACCAGCTGCAAAGAGAAAGCTTTTCATACACATGTTGATTTAACAGTCATGTTTGCAGTTTACATGGTTAGGTGGATGGTTGGTTGGATAGTTGGATGATTAGGTGGATGGTTGGATGGTTAGTTGCATGGTTGGATGGTTAGGTGGATGGTTGGATGGTTGGGTGGTTACGTGGATGGTTGGTTGGATAGTTGAATGATTAGGTGGATGGTTGGTTGGTTAGTGTCATGGTTGGATGGTTAAGTGGATAGTTGGATGATTAGGTGGATGGTTGGTTGGATAGTTGCATGGTTGGATGCTAAGGTGGATGATTGGATGGTTGGTTGGATAGTTGGAGCTGCAAAGAGAAAGCTTTTCATACATATGTTGATTTAACAGTCATGTTTGCAGTTTAGATGGTTAGATGGATGTTTAGATGGTTGGTTAGTTGGATGGAAGGTTGGATGGTTAGGTGGATGGTTGGTTGGATAGTTGCATGGTTGGATGGTTGGATGGTTAGTTGGATGGCTGGTTGGCTAGATGGATGGTTGGATGGTTAGGTGGTTAGTTGGATGGTTGGTTGGATAGTTGCATGGTTGGATGGTTAGCGTAGGGTCATGTGTTAGTGGTGGGAACAGTCATATGGTTATTGTTCATGTGTCCGAACAGCAGAGGGGAAGAAACTGTTCTTATGGCGAGAGGTTCTGGTGCGAATGGACCGGAGCCTCCTGCCTGAGGGGAGCAGGTCAAACAGACTGTGTCCAGGGTGAGAAGGGTCAGCTGAGATCCGAGCTGCACGCCGCAGTGTCCTGGAGGTGTACAGGTCCTGCAGAGATGGGAGTCTGCAGCCAATCACCTTCTCAGCAGAGCGCACAACACGCTGCAGTCTCTGTTTGTCCCTGATAGTGGCTCCAGCGCCACGTGATGGAGGAGGTGAGGATGGACTCGATGAATTGC